CGAAAGCTTACTCTGTATTAGGGGTTTCAAGGTAAATAGGATTATTTGTTTTTATCCATATACAGTTTTCGTTAGCCACGGTTTGGAAAATGCTGCTGCCATCTGGAGATAGGTTTTCGAGCGTTAAATTAATTTAGGAATTATCCATAAACCACGTGGCTCCTTCCGTTACCCTATCTACTCTAAACGCATACAGCCTATTCCTCCTTCTTCTGCTCAATGAAACGTTTCGTTTTGTTTCACACTTATTTTCATTTTCTATTACATAATTAAAGCTAATAAACTTCATCTAGGTAACCTAGCTGAAACAAGGAAATTGTCTGTTTCGACAGACTTTTACATCAAAGAGACCGGTGTTAGATAAGTTGATTAAATGCATCCAAGAGGTCGCTGGTATCGAAGGGGGATTAGCAGTGCAGGATAATCAGAGGATATTATCATTAAACTCATTGGTTCTTCCACAGTAGTTTCATCACTGCTTCTGAACCTTAATGGACATACATATGTATGTATATTGAAAACTGTGTCGTACTGTGTGTCCATAAGCCACAAAGCATTTATTGAAGTGGTTTGAAACTATTATATATTTTTATATGAAATCAGTTTCGGAACATGGCAATTTCGATGTTCAAAGGCAAAATAAAGTTTAAATGAAGTGTGTAAAATGCGGCACACCGAAATGTCAAATTCAAGTAAATTCATTTTATTTTTACTCGAAAGCATGCCTGAATAATTAAATAAAATTATAATAACAGAATTATTATTGCATGGCCAAGTGGGTTACTATTGTTGCAACAACACTTCGCATATTCCGTTGCGGAGCAGTCGCGAACAATTAAAATGAACTGATATTTTCTTGAAGTATACAAATCCCAGATTTTCTCACTGTTCATATTCTTATTTCCAACGAAAAAACAAAACTTTACATTTTCATTTTTAATTATTTATAGTAATTTTTCATACAACATGCAAATATGTATGCTGGTGTGTACTCAATGCAAAAACCATTGCACTTTTTTATATACGTACATATCTATATATATATATATATATATATATATATAATTAATGCATATAATAATTATATCGATGTACATACATGCATATATACGATATTTTTGTTTTAAAATAATTGCAATTTTATAAAGATTTTTACAACATTCAGTGTGTTTGCTTTTCTAAATATGTACATATGTATAAACATTGGTGTGTACATATGTAAATATAATATATCTAAGAGTATTCTTAGATAAATTTTAAATTTGTATAATTTCGAAGTAATGATTTATTATTATTTTTATTATTATTATACATTAAAAGTGATTGTGAATTGCAAATTCATTCAACACACATATATTTGTAGCTGTATGTATGTTATGTACATATGTATATAAAGCCAGTTTAATTTTCAACTCTGCTTTATACATCTCTCTCTCCACACACACACACACACACATCGCCAATTTTCTCTTCACTTGTGCTCTTTTCTCTCTCTTTGCATATCAGAATGAAATCATTTACTATTAAATATTTACTTTTATATTTTAATTTAATATGTACAAAATGTGGATAGAGAAAATTTTCTTTGCTATAGAAAAATAAATTAAAATAAAGGAAAAAAAATTGTACAAGAGTGAAAGCAAATGACAAAATCGATAAAGATAAGGTGCACACAACTCATAAAGTTGATATTTTTAAGGAAGAGATAGAAATTATTAAAGCAAATAAATACCTAAAGAAATAAAAATGTTTTCATACATGTATGTAGGGGTTCATGTGTATGTGTATGTACTATGTAAATTTAATTGAATTAAAAAATAATTATACTTGAAATTAAGGTGACGTATTAACATACATTTTTGTGCATATGTGTATATATCTATACACAACTATATAAATATGTATAAAACATATGTATATTGATGTACATACATAGATATATGTGAACGTAGATAATTGCTTTTTGAGGAATGAAATAAAAATAATAGAGAATTTTATAAAAAACTATTATTAAAATAAATCACTTATATGTACATATGTATATTATCAAACACACATATACAATTTTAATTATTATTTTTGCACAAGAATATATGTATTTATTAAATAATACATACATATGTATGTATGCATGTATATATTAATAGAATTTACATATATATATATATATATATACATATGTATATGAATACACGTAAATTCAAGCATACATGCATATACATATGTCTATATATTCAAATACAGGTCATAAACCTGATATATATACATACATACATATATATGTGGGTATATTATTTTATTATTTAGTAAGAGTATTTTATTATTTTAACGTGAAAGACAGTTTTCTATTTTGTTTTTAAGCAAATTCGTATACTTACATACATGCATGCAAAAAAGATGTATGTACATACATATATATTTTATATTAGATTTATTATTCATTATTATCTTTTCATATATTTTTTCGCTCTTCCATAGCAACCCGAAAATAAACATTTTTTATCGTTATTTCTTTCTGTCGACTATGCGAAATTTAATTCTCTCACTCTATTCCAATTTCAAAAGACATACGTACATACATACATAAACAATTTGCAAATAAAAACTAGTTATATAAACAAATTACGAGTTAGCTTGAAACGTATTATTAAGATTTTATTATTTTTTTTTTTAATATATAAAGATTAAAAAGTATTTCTTAATTGTTATGTTCGCACTACTATGTATGTATATAGTGTGAATTGATATTCAACTAATACAGTTGCGCGCATATTAAAATAATAACTGACTGATTGTATAAAAATTATAAGAAATAATTTAAACAAAAATAAATTATATTTTTATTATATTATTTTATTTTTACAAAAAACTATATTTTTTAACGGGGAAATGTTGCACGTAAAAGAATTAAATTTCTTTGAAAAAACTAAAACTTTAAAGGCAGACAGACTTACTAAAATTTCAATCTGTGTTTTTGAGTTTTCTTAAAGTAAAATAAAGGGTGTTTTCTTAGACATGTGATTTTCAAGAAATAAACGCCATTATATTTTACAAATTTTTACGGGTAAGTGTCTCGAATAAAGAAACCCAATTTTCGACCACTTTTTGCAGCAATTCGCCTCGGGTACAAAAAATAGTGCTGTGCTGTTGAATTACACGATTTTGGGCGGTCATGCCACGGGCTAACGATACAAGATAGTGCGTTCATCAGAAGTTTCCTTCAACAAATTGGTTGGTTCGTTGACTGTATGGCATTTAGAGCTGTCTAGTTTGAACCAAAGGTCGTCCGCATAAATATCCTTTAATTCAGACATGGTTCTATAGGATTACCCATTGACCGTAAGATTATGATCGACTTCATTTTTGAAGCAATTGGTCCACTATGCACTCCAAAAATAAGGCCAAACTTTTGTTTTTTAACGTCCAACCAAAATTGAGCTTCATCGCTGAACAAAACTTTCTTCCCTTGAGTAATAAAATTCTGAAAAAGTGTTGCCTTATTGGAAAATTACACGTCTTAAAAAACATCATTTTATTAAAAATATACTTTGGAAATTCAAAGTGAATTCTTAACATATTTTTTGGATAACGCATTGGACGATGGAAAATAAAAAATTTGAAATTTGCACTAAAAAAATACAATTTTTGGCAAAATTTGTTAAACTTTTTTTTTTAAAAGTAGTGAAGGAAAATAAAATCTTTCTTTCTTATCTCGAAGACCGAAGGTGTAATTTTCTAGAGCTTTTTAGAACCGACAGTTTGCTTTGAGCGCACATGTTCGCAAGGCTGTATTTTTTAAACTTTTATTCATATCGATTTGAAAATTTAGTATAATTTTCTCGAGGAAAGGAAAGTTGTGGAAGACGATAAAAAATCTTCTTTTTGAAACAGTGAGAGTTACTACAGCTAACTACGTTTTTAACTCAAAAAATAAAAATATATTTTTTTTTGGCACCATTGTTGAAAATTTCAAAAATAGCTGCATTCAAATCTGAATGAAAAATAACCAAAAATGACAGTTGTTTGTTACTTTAAATAAAAGCAATCGCGAGTCATTTAACAAAGGTACTACGAGCATTTTGAAAAATCTACGAATCATTGTTTCCTCCGGTTGATATAGATAAACCAAAGCGTAAAATTTTAACCAGAGTATCTGTATAAAAAAACAGTAGTTTGTCATTCTACCTTATTTTGCTCTAGCAAACTGAATCTCTAACTAAATTCAAATCAGCTGTAAGGCGAAACTAACTCCCACTGCTGTTGTCCGTTCGCAGTTAATCGCGATTAAGACTGCCGTCTGTCTGGGCTATTGGTTTGCATTGCGTAAGTACATCGAGTATATGTACATACTTACTATTTTCGATTAATTCGATTAATGCTTTGATGATTTGGTCATCATCAACTTCATTTGGCCGACCTGAACGTGGCTCATCTTTAAGTGAAAAATCTCCAGAACGGAATTTGCGAAACCAATTTTGACACTGTCTTCCTTTTAAGGCTTCATCACCATACACATCTCGTAACTTTTTAGCAACCTGCTCCGCGTTTTTTCCTTTACGGAAATAATAAAGTAAAATATGACGAAAATGCTCCTTTGTGGGCTCCATATTAAAATTGACGCCAAACAAACAAATGTAAACAAAATTTCGCGCACTTTTTTTCTAAAGCAAGCTAAAAGTAACAGCTGATAACTGAAAAAAGGAAGAATGCAATTACAGAATCACAAGCTGTTGAAAAAATTTGTCAACGCCGACTATATAAAAAATCCGCAATTACTTTTTGGGCAACCCAATATTTATTTATGTATTTATGTATGTATGTATGTGTGTATGTATGTATGTATATATTTATGTACTAAGTATTCATAATTCTGAAGGCGCAAATATAAATTACCTGTTTGTGTCTGCTAAAAGTGCCATTTTTAATAAGGTAAAAATATTTTATGGTTAACAGTTTAAAATTAAAAATTTATATTTGAAACGTTTAATATTCGGCCTTACGTACTGATGATCCATTAATATCTGTAAAAGAAGGAACAAAATTAAAATTAGATTAGAAAACAGAAAAGATACATTTATATGTGCATACGTATATATACATACTTGTATATAGAAATACTTAGAGAATAGTAGTAATAATGTCATAGAGTATTCAATATTTTAAAGAAAAAAAATTTGGATATCTGAGTATGTAAATTATTTTAAAATAACCCTGTTTTTTTTTTAATTCGATAAAAAGGGTTAAAAAAAGTTTAACTCTAAGCCCCACTAGTAGAAAATCTAGAGTTAAATTTACAAGTGGTTAATTAAGTAACTCAGAGTTAAATTGTTTTTTTTTTATTTTTTTTTTTTGTATAACACAAACAAAAATTTAATAAAAAAAAATTGGAAAGAATAATAATAAATGCGCTCAAAGATGCGTATCCAAACCGATTGCTCATGCAGTGCGAACGAAGAATGTAACTAGAGAATGCAGGAGACCTTGTCCTATATCAATTGCAGTGAAAAAACAACCATGGAATATATATGGCGATCATAATGTTTGAACTCTAAATTTATTAATTAAAATAAAAAAACTAATTTAAAATAATTTTAAAAAGTAATTTGTCTCTTAATTATGCCTCGCACTGTACATCATTATGTGAAAAATTTTTTGCCAAGTAGTAGTCAATATGAGCCTGAACGTCTCTGTTGCACCACTTGTGTATATCCATAAAACATTTTCCGGCCAACTCTTTACATAAGCTCTCTACAAGCTAGAAGCAAGGAGAGTGGCTAAACCAAGATCTAGCTAACATCGAAAGATGATGCCAAGGATCTTGAAATGAAGGATGACTACTGTTGGACTTTAATACACCATAAAATATTCAACTTCACCTCTCTTCATTTCAGATTTGTTTCTAAAATTAACAAAAAACGTAAAATCGAATTTATTATCCATTTCAAAACTGGTGAAAAGTTAGAACTGGAGAAAGTAAGTATACTGATTTTTTTTTTATAGATAATGTATGTATACATTTTTTGATGCCTTTCTTCTTCCCGCCATGCAAACTCTTCGTCCACTTCTCCATACTCTCCTTCCCCTTCCAACCGCCGGTTGAAAACCTTTTGCCAACCATGTGCAGCTTCAGGGAGGTACAGGTACTAATCTGAAGGTGTTCAATCAGAGGAAATTCATCCACAGCCCAACTACGATCGTCACGAAGCACAATTTACGCTCTTTCAGACATTTCGTCAGTCACAAGTGATTGTATGCCGCTCGTGTGTTCTTAATGCTCACATGTATTTAAGGCCGTTTTTAAACTCGCAATATCACTTGTAAAGACTCATAGGATTCTTAGCATTATCATCATATAAAATTTTCATCTCATTATAAATCTCGAACGAAGGATTTCCCTTCCAAATGAGATAACGGGGGAGACTGGATCAACTCCGTTCACGATCTGATAGCAAAGAGAAGTAGTCTGGTTAGTAGCCAACATGACGACAAATAAAACCTCTCCGGCCGTGGGAAACTCAGCGCCCTTACTTACTTTCTGGATGTGCCTCGTATTCTTAAAACACATACATAGTTATAGCATATTCTATTTTTATAATAATACATTACACAGCACATGAAGAACTTGTTGCTCACGTAAACCGCACATAGGCCGGGACAAGTGCAATATTAATTTATAATATAAAACATTGTCACTTTCCCGCCCTGCGTGCAATTCCTTGTTACTCACTCATCACACTCACCTTTTAACACACTTTTTGTAAAAAATATGTATAAACATACATATGTAGTATATATATTTCAATCTAAAAAAAATGTACTCGTATGATTTTTTTTCTGTAAGACTTTGAAAAAATCAATGTACACACATACATATGTACATAGATCACATTTTTTACAAAAAATATCTGATTTCCGCTAGCTTAAGTATCAAATATCCGCCCTTTCTTCAATGTAACCTTGTATTGTCGTACATACATACATACATACATACATGTGCATGTAGGTCGGGCTTTGGAGCATCCTTTGCAGTGCGATGAAAAGAAATTATGAAGAAAAAAATGCTTAAATGCATCCTGCGAAACTGAGGCCGCGCCGCAGAGGAATCCCGCCTCCCCCATCCGTTTAAAGCACAAAACACAATAAAGTGCCAATTGAGTTGCTCGTCATTCTACTTACAGAGACAAATAGCTCCAATAGCAAGTGAATCGTTAAAGTTTTGCTTTAGTGCACACAAACAAGCATACAACTGATAGTCAAGCGGTCACTTGGAAGTGCAGAGTTTGGCAGTTTTGTCTGGTTCAAATTTTGGCAACACCATGTGGTCTTAGTCTAAGTCTACAGTCACAATAATGCCTGCTCCTCTTGCCCGTTCGCCATTTCTGTATGCTCGTGGTTGCGCTATGTTTATTTGTTTATTTGGTTACTCTACTTCTTCTTCACTCTGTCTGCGCTCTTCGATCTCATCGATTTTTTGCACATTTTATCTTGATGATTACCTCTTTTAGTGAAGGACTGTACTCGTACTAAGTGTGTATACAGTCTGTATCTTCAAAGGTCGGATGCAGGTAAATATAGGAACGCTTATGAATATATACTATATAAATATGTACATACATAAATGTACACCGACTACCGCTGCTGTCGCTTTAGCCTGTATTTATTACTCCAGTTGTTGCCGGCTATTTATGCCTCTTATTCTCGCTTCTCAAACAAATCATGCGGAAAATGCTTTTATTTTCAGTTGAAATACTTTTATTGTTAAGGTATTATATGTCAATATGTGTACCTTTTTTTTACTCCTTTGGAGTATTAAATAATGGTACAAGCTGTTGGGTCTACACTTCAGTGAGGTTACCTGAGATTGGTTTGACGATGAGGATGATGATGGTTTAACAAAGACATATACATACATAGACATTTTTGCTGAAAATTGGCCACTGTAAGTAGTGAGGTAGCAACGATCACGTCTGCATTTTTGAATTCGTATTTTGCCCTACAGTGAACTACCGAAAACAATACTGAAATGCAGAAAAAAAAATGCTACGAGGCATATCCAGAAAATAGCTGGAGCTCAGCTATTGTTGTTTTAAAAAAATTTTATTTAAATAAAAAAAAAAAAATAGTTGATTGTTGAGTACAAAGTGTTTGCTTCGCAATAGTAACCCGCTTCAATGATTATTTTTTGATGTTTTCCTCGAAGTAGTTTCTTGCTGGGCCCTTGGGATCCATCTCGTTGCCTTACCAATATTGTTTCTTGCTCGTTACCAATATTGTTTCGTGTAGAATGCATTTAAAATTTTCTGGAAACATCACAGAAAGTCAATTTGACTAACAACCTGAATTGCTCTGCGGATTTATCGAAAGAACCCGAAATATGTATAATAAATATATAAAATGTATAATGCTAAAGTTTGGCGTAAAACATACGAATACGACCGAATATTTCATAATGTTGTCTTCTACATGCCCATTCAGCTTTGTCAAAGACCTTCAGAAGCAGTGATGAGAGTGATAATGCAATTAAGAAATAACTGAAGAAGAATAAACGAGCTTAACTACAATGTCCACCGTCTAATAAGTCCTCATTCGACTCTAACGACCTCTTTTCCGCATTTAATTAACACATATAAAATCAATCTCCTTACGGTTTATCAGCTAGATGAACTTGATGAAGTTTATTTAAATAAAAAGCTTATTTTTTGAATTCCATTTAAGGGGCACACCTAGTGTAATGGCCTAAAAAAAATTGATTTTTGGGAATTTTTATTAAAAAAAAATATTTTATCTTTTATTTTAAAATTTTAAGAATATACAGTAAAATTTTTGAAGAGAAAAATTAAATATTTTTAAAGTTATAGCCGATCTTTAATGGCGCGAAAAAAGGTCCTTCACTGCTGCAGTGATTCCAGCCTTCTCCGTGGATGACACCTAAAAAAAATTCTCTACTATATAATATTGTCTGTACAATGACCTACGATAAAAAAAAATCAAAAATGGCGGCGTTTTAAAAAAAATAGTGAAATTTTACGCAAAATTTTGGACGTTTTTGGCATGCCAAAATTCGATTTTTTGATCAGATCACAAATGGATAGGTCATTGTACGAAGAACTATATATAGAACATGTAAAAAAAATTCGATAGTGATCGGATCATTTATTTTTGAGTAATCATTGCAGCGAATTCGGAAAATGCTGTTTCGAGAAAAATGCGTTTAAAGATAAAATGGTCGTTTTCACTCGTAGCTAATGAGACTCTCTACCTGCCGAGCGACTGCTCTTTAAATTGCTATAACTCAAAAACTATTTGAGATATCGATTTGAAATTTTAATATATTATTTTTAAAGTTGTAATCTATCGAAATATGAAAGAGATCGATTTTTTTTTTTGAAATTTCACACTAGGTGTGCCCCTTAATACTGCAAGTTTTATGTATTAGAATAAACTAAAAAAATACTAAAAATCCGAAACGAGTTCTTCTTAGCATCTTGTGAGTCGAACGATCCAAATGATGGCTATGTTAAAGATTATAATAAAACTTCTAAGAATTGTGCTAGTTATATTTTAAGTTATAATAGTAGCTTCTATTAAAAAAGAGCTAAATTGCAAATTTTTAATAATTTTTTAAAACTTTTTTTGGGGCACGTAAAAAGAAAATTCATTTGATTATTACATATATTCGTTCAGAGTCGATGATCATTTAATTTTACGAAAAAAATTAAATTACAGCAAGACAAATATATTTATGTAACATATGTATGTATGTACATATGTATGTGTACCATGTTAATATGTGAATGCTTTATTATCATGTGTAAAAAGTTAACAGTGAAAAACATAACTATCAAATAACTAATTACCGAGATAAGGTGAGAATAACACTTTGTAAGTCAATATTGACAATTAACATGCTTACATATATATACTTAAAATAAAAGAAAATATTGTAATATATGTTGATAATATTGTAAAAAATATGTGAAGCCCAAATACAATATTCTACTACCTTTTCTGGTTTTTGAAA